ACCAAGAGCCGTCGCCTCCGTACCAGAAGCCAGCGACGAAGCCGGCGACGTACCAGAAGCCGGCGACATACACGAAGCCGGCGACTTACCAAAAGCCGTCGCCGTCGTACCAGAAGCCGGCGACATACACGCAGCCGTCGTACACGAAGGCGCCATCGACGTACACGCAACCGGCGACGTATACGCAGCCGTTGCCGTCTTACCAAGAGCCGTCACCGTCGTACCAACAGCCGTCGTCGTACCAAGAGCCATCGTCGTACCAAAACCCGGCTTCCTTCATCCTTCTCTCGGACGAAGCCGAGGGCGACGTCTACGACGATGTCAACGACGATGAGTTCGACAGCGGCAACGACGAAGATCCGGACTACATCGACAACTAAGCACGTAGTTGCCGCATTGCGTTGTGTGACACGAAAAGTAAATGTTGCTTGTGAACTTTATGACACGCGTATCTCTTTCAAAGACGACATGACTGAACCGAGCCGCGGCGCCGCAATCATTCAGTGTAAGGGTATGGTGTCTCGACTCGAAAGCTCGAAGTGTAGCTGTATTGTGCCGTGTAGCCAGCTGGATCCGGGACGGCGCCACGGTGTCTTTGAACTTTTATTTGACTGACGGCGGATGCTCGTTCTCGAGTTTGCGAGTCTGGCGAGATGGGCCTCGCCACGTGCATCGCTGCGTGCATCGTCACCAAATCGGCTTGCCATCGTCCAGACGCAACCTTAGCGTCGACGGTTACAAACGCGTGCACAGGTTGTCGATTGCGTGGGGCAATTGTTCGATCCAGCTCGACGATTGCTCGAATCGAAGCTCTCAATTTTTGCTCTGGAACAAGAACATTGCGCTACATCTTGCCCTTCTCTTGCTCGATGTCGAAGGTACACGCCCAAGGTGGTCGGCCAGTGGGGCAATAAAGTCCCTTGTCGACTCACTTTTCAAGATGCTTCGTGGCGCTGCCGGGCTTGCGTTTGCGATGGGGGCCGCGACGGCCTCCTTCCGCAGCGGCACGTACATTTGTGATACGTGGAACGCGTGGAACTGCTTCCCGACCGTCCCGACGATCGTGCGCTGGAGCGACAACGGCATCGACGTCGAGTGCATGTCGACCGACGGCAAGACGTGTTTACCGACGACGACGCCCGACGCTTGCATCCAGCTCAAGCGACAACCGCCGACGTACACGTCTAACATTAAGTGCCCCGCAAGTTTGCCGAAAGACCATTCCTTCGACTGGTGCACTGCCGCGAAAGCCCATCTCAAGCACCTCGACGAGTCCGCGGTAGTGACAGCGCCGCCAACGCGGCCGCCCTACGCTACGCTGGCGCCGACCACCAATGCGCCGAAAGCATCTACAGCGTCGACGTACGCGACAACGACTGGGCCCAAGCCGTCGACACCGACGTCGTACGGGACGCCCCGACGAGGCACCAACGCCCCAAGACCGACGACAAGCAATCCGTCGACTCCGACGCCGTATGGCACGGTGCGCGCGGGAACCGACACTCCAAAGACGACGACCGCGACACTAAATTCTACTACAAACGTGCCCAAGACAACGACGTCAACGCCGTACAGTACACTAACGAATGCGCCGAAGCCCACCACGGTATTGCCAAAGGCAACCACGGAAGCTCCAAAGTCGACGACGAAGAACTCTTACGGAACGCCAGTCCCCACCACGACGGCCCCAAAGATTACCACTGTGGCACCAAAGGTAACCACGGTGACACCAGCGCCATCGACCCCAACGCCTCAAGCCACGACGGTTACCCCCAAGCCGTCGACCCACGGCCCGTACAGTACGCCGATCCCTGTGACAGATGTCGCGAAACCCTCGAGTTTGAAACCGTCAACCCAGGCTCCGTATGGCACTACGGCAGCTCCCAAGACCTCAAAAGTGTCTCCAGCAGCAACAACGGTCGCGTCAAAGCCGACGACAGCGCCTCCGAAGCCCTCGACCCAAGCTCCGTATGGTACGCCCGTGTTGGCGACGAACGCACCGAAGTCAACGTCAGTGCCTCCCAAGGCCACGACGGTGGCTCCGAACCCGTCTTATGGCACACCAGTCCCGAAGCCGACGACATCA